AATTATTTAATTAACATTACCGGTCATGCTCAATACATCAATAAAAAAGGATATTACTTAATAACACAACCTTATACGGGTAGTAGGCTACCGGCACTTATGTATATTTACTGATAACTCTTCTGAAATTGCGGACATAAGAAAACGCACTTTGATAAATCATACTTCCTAGGGGCACTTTCTTGCTATGGAGCTCTCTTTCCAAAACTTTATAAGTTTTGCCAAGATCAATTAACCTTTCTCCGTGTATTCTTTTTGAGGCAACTCGTCTATCTTTAGGGGCCTAATTACTGTACTGTGCCTGTGCCAAGTTGTAACTGTCCCTTTAACATGCAAGGTGTGTTGACATGGGCAACCCTTCACTTCAAACGAAGCCCTGAATCCTCAGGAAAATTATGCCCACCTTGCCGACTTTAACATTTAGGTACACAACAATACTGAGGCAAGTTTATTAAGGCCAGTGCCACAGTCCAACACATGTTATTTCCAAAATGGCGACTGGGGAAGGACTGAATTCACACTAGCGACACCTGGTGCCAAGCGGGCTGGTATCCCTCATTGTGTATACACAGTGGCAGATTTAGGGAGGGTGTCTCTGTGTCCTGACACCCCCCCCCCTCCCTTTTTCAATTTCTGAAAAAAAATCGCACCAATGGTCCCTTTTTGAAATTAAAAATTTTACAAGCTGAATCATACAGTAGTTCTGCAGTGTACCAATTGGCACCATTCGCCCTTTAAAATACCAAAAATTTTGGGGGCCCTTCACTGGGCCCCAAACCCCATGCCAAGGGAGAGGGGGGGGGCAGCTTTTCCTTCTACTGACCCCCCTCCCCTTCAAATGATACTGGATCTGCCCCTGTATACACTGGTTGTTAATGTAGGTAAGCTTGCTCCGGTAAAAACCGGTTAAGTCATTGCTTTATATTAAGAATTTGTAGGAGCAAGCTTTTCCATTTCTTTCATTTTTATTCCTATTTCAGTTGTTACTCAATAACCAGTGAAAAATTGATAAAGAAAAGTAAACAATTCTGAAGTGACTTAATTATTATTTTTTTCTAGCTACATATTTATCATTACACAAGATGTGATGGAAATCCTTATTTACTGCAATAATCACAGTGTTGAACAGCAATACGTGATTTGATGGAAATCATGAAATTTGTGCAAATTTCATAATTATATGAAAAGATTCAAACTGTGCAGTACATTCTTACAGTTTGATAAAGATTAAACTTTGATATAATTTGTTCATCATCTTTAGTTGGTGTCCCTGAGGTTCTGATGCGTCTGGATGCTCACTATGACTGGTTGCCATCCCCAGTGTCAGTGTTTGGAAACAAGAGCACGGCAGTGAGGTCCATGCTTGGCCTTGGTAATGGCTGCAGGAAGGAGCCATCAGTGAAAGGAATGCTAGCCTATGTCCTTGACGGGAGTGATTGTTCTTATTTTGATAAGGTGTGTTTGTGGTGAACACCAAGCCACTGGCTGAACTGTTTACTAATTTTAAAGATAAATTCCTTAGATTTTAATTTTAAATTTTAATTCCATCGATTTTAATTTTTAATTCTATTTATTTATTTGTTTGCTTGTTTGTTATTATTATTATTATTATTATTATTATTATTATTATTATTATTATTATTATTTTGAAATACTAAAATTTAATATTTGGGTTCAAATTGTTTGGCAGGTTATCAGTGTTGATGAAAAATTTTAATGTTGCTGAAAATCATGCCAGATTATCCTTTAAGAACCACATACTTGCAATGTTGAAATCTTATATCTCATATGAGAAAATAAAAAGCACAATTTGATAACATATAACATATATAACATCCTGTGTATCTCCAGATCAGCAGTATGGAGGCGTCAGGTGCAGCAGGTGTGATAGCGCAGGCACAACCTAACAACTCTGTCTTTGATAATACAAAACATATATATATATATAACATGTATATAACATCCTGTGTATATCTCTAGATCAGCAGTATGGAGGCGTCAGGTGCAGCAGGTGTGATAGTTCAGGCACAACCTAACAGCTCTGTCTTTGACATGAAGTGTGTGGGGAAGCAGTGTGATGTACAACTCAGTATACCTGCCACTGTGGTCAGAACTGACAATACTAGACTAATGAACAGGTGATAATAAATGAAAATATTATTATCCAACACAAGCCGAAAAACTTTCATACTGTTAGCTTATGGCCAGCCTGGACGTAGGCCTTCATCAGACTGATGTGAGTTGATGTTGACACTCACTAAGCTAATGGTATGAAAGTTTTTTTCGGCTTGTGTTTGATAATTTTCATTTATGGTCCAACTACCAAGCTAATGAACATTTTTGCTCACTGATAAACAGGTGAATCCATACCTAGAGTTTGTGAAATTTTTACCCTTTCACAGAGGATTAGGTGGTTTAATAAAAGAGACCATTGGAAGAGAAGCTTTAATTTGCTTCTCTTCTACAGCACTTCCAATATGTTTCTGATTTTTATCTTCAGTTGAGTATTGTGACTACTACCGTTGTATTTAGCAGGATAAATGATTACAATTAAGGATGTATTAATTTAATAACATATATAGATTAATAAGAACATGTACGATGTTAAGCATTTATTTTAATTGAAGTTTACAACTTGACATATTGTAAAATATTGTCTTAATATTTCCAGGTTGAAATTGGGGACTGTCATGGCATCCTTCCAGAACACACCAAGTGATAACTTCTATGTGGGAATTGACACCAGGGGGCTCCTGGCAGAGACAGGCTGGTTCCTCTACCCGTCCCTGCAGTTTCTGGCTTGGCAGGCACAGTGGTATCTCTCTCTCTCCCCTCCCCCCCCCTCTCTCTCTCTCTCTCTCTCTCTCTCTCTCTCTCTCATTTTTCAACAGTAGTCAAAAAGTGTAGTTGGCAAAGCATTTCATAGGAGCTGTATATTGCTGTTGTACATGTATATGCAGATTCTGATAAAACAATGAAGCAAGTTGATACAAAAATTTGATGAAATGCCTGTAGCAACATTAATTTGTTTTATCAGTTTTATGTAAAACAGTTGTTCTTACTGCCACAGGTTTATGTAAAGTAACACTGTTGTCAATATTTTAATGGATTTGAATACAGACAATGTAGCACTGTTGTCATTGTTGTTACAGGTTCACATACAGACAGTTCCTAGATGCCAGACTCTCTCGTCCATGTACTGTAATTCCTGTATTCAACCACACCCGTATGCAGGGAGCCAAGGGAGCCGTAGCAACTGTCAAGTTACCCAACATCAATGGTCAGTTATGACGTGTACATATGTGGTGCCTAATGTAAATTTGTTAATTAAGTGTGAAATGCGTTGTATCAGTTTAGGATAATCCTTGGCAGTTTTATGCAGTGTATTGTATTTTTTTTTTTACCCTGTAGTAAATTTATTTGACTGTTGACTTTTTGCTCAAAGTGTAATTCATGTTAACCATAGATATTATACAAATCTCTACTGAAATTTGAAAGATGCTGCCCCAAAAAAAATTCAACAGGGTCATTCAAATTTACATTTTTTTCTGCAATCATATTTATCATATATTGACTGATATATTGGGTCTAAAAAAAAAGAATAAAGATATGTGTACATATTATGTAAACTACAGGCTGATGACCTTTATAAATGTATACAGTATAGATATTTATCTCTTAATTATCTCTCTTTCATCAGTAACTTATTTAATTCTTTTTCACATCTGTGTATCACAGAGCTGCATCAGTACAGCAGGATAGAACTTGACATGTCTCTGTCGTGTCCGGGGACGCGGGACGTGGACTGCGCTCACTGGGACCACACCGTCCAGTTATATGTCTGCTGTAATAGGACAGATGGACAGCTGTGTAATGCTGAGCTGGGACGTTGGATTAGCCCCTTCAGGAGGTATTACTAGAGAGACAAGATTGTGGTGGTGTGGTTTCTTCACGTACGGTATTCCTCAGTGAGAAAAATATAATATAGACAGACAGGCAGACCGAGAGAGAGAGAGAGAGAGAGAGAGAGAGAGAGAGAGAGAGAGAGGGGGGGGAGGAGAGCTTGGCCTGGGTGATATGGATATGTAGAAGAAACATATTAATTTTTTTAACAAAAGCAAAGAGACATAAGTATGGCAAAGATTCATTGCTAGACAAAGTAAATTGCAAAATTGTCATGATAATTGGTTCATTAATTTTTGTAAGTTAACATATTGCTATTAATGTAGAATAAATAACTGCACAGCAATTTAACTGAAAGTTCTTCATTTTAATACTTAACTTTCATGACTATGCCACAATATACCTTTAAGAGGTATGATTCCATCACAGAGTTTCAATCCCTTGTTTGATTCCATCTCCCTTATTTGCTTTCACTATTTTATTAATATCTAAACCTCAGGCGTATTGGTCGCTGGCTGACAGATGTGTCCAGTCTCCGCCCCCTGCTTGAGTCCAGCAATGGTCAGTGTACCTTGACCATGAAGACTGCCCCCTGGGCCCTGCCCTGGATGCCTTCATTGAACCTCAGACTGTGTAGAAATAAAGGTAAGTCCTCAGAGATCTGTAATATTAGATATCCATGAAGACTGCCCCCTGGGCCCTGCCCTGGATGCCTTCATTGAACCTCAGACTGTGTAGAAATAAAGGTAAGTCCTCAGAGATCTGTACCAGTAATGTTGGATATCGAGATAACTTAAAAGTAAGAGGTATAAACATTCTAGTATTTACTGGTGTACAGGGTACTGCCATGTATTATTTACTAGTACCATGCATGTAATGGTGTCCTTATGAGATATTAGTAATTACATCAGTTCTTTTATTTTAAATTATCAATTAAATATGCCAAGGGAATTTCATTTTTTAAACAATATATTTTAGGGGGAAAACTTACAGGACAACAATGACAGCAGGAGTAAAGTGGTTGCCGAAAACTTTTGAAATGTTTTGAAATCCTTTTTCATTACAGATGTGACTCCAACACCATCTACAGTTCAGCCATTATGGTCGCCAGGGGCAACCTTTGATAAAAACTACAATAAGCACTTTCAGCCTATTTCATTTAATGTTCAGAATAATGTGAAGAAGGTGGGTTTGCTGTCATGGGTCAAAGAACAGTAATTCTTCACTCCTGACTAGTAATGTTAAATAATGTTATCTGATGTGATGTTAATGTTATTGTGGTAGGTGAGATTATTTTTCATAATTTTCATAAAGTTGTGCCTTCCTTTAAATAATATAATGTAATCTTTAAAACATTTGAGAAACCATATTAGATTGTTTAAAATATTGATTGTTGGGGGGTTTGAAAATTTAAAAAGAATAGATGTAATCTAATGTTTTTGGAATATACTAGTATAGTGTTTTACAGTAAAAAAAAAACTAGATAGGAACATACCGGGAGTATCTAAGTTCTTGGTTATAGGCATCTTTTCAGCATTAGTACTTTCTCTCTCCTATAGGTGGAGTTGGTGTCAGTGATCACAGGGCATGGGAGTGATGAGAATGGTTGTGGAGAGTTTTGTCCGACATCGCACCACTTTGTTGTCAATGGGAAAACTTACAGTAGAACATTTGACACTGCAGGTAAGTCCATTGATTTGAGACTGAAATGCATGTTTTAATCTTGCTTAGTTTAGCTCCATATATTACCTACATAGTATATTCACTTATCAACTACATTTTCTAACCTAACTTTGGAACAAACCGATTTATACTTGTCGAATTACATGTAGTATACTGTATATAAAATACAATGGGCTAAGGCCAGTACATTTCCATGAATTGTAAAATATCTTCATGTTATGATAAGCTGGGGACATACATGTACAATACATGATTTTTGGTTAAGTTCATTTGGATTCCCCTGCTTTTATTTTAGTACTTTGTTCAGACTTTTAAAAATGTTGGACAGCATGTTTGCCTGATATTTACCAAGTACATGTAAAATACACTGAGTACTTTCTACATTTGTCTCCTCAGTGTGTGTGTGTGTGTGTGTGTGTGTGTGTGTCATAGTGAGCATGTGTGTGTGTGTCTAAAACCTGTAACAGTAGCACAGTCAGACTAACCTGTATGGTACACCTCAGGTCACTTTATTTGCAGGGACCCCCTTGGGGTGTGCAGACAGAGTCCCCCAGGGGGTCACCCCCAATGAACATGGCACCTGGCTGTATGGCAGAGATGGCTGGTGTGACGGACAGCAAGTGGATCCTTGGGTAGGTTCTCTCTCTCTCTCTCTGATTCTAATATGAAATACCTTTAAGCTAGGACAGAAGATAGATTTTGGGTCCTAGCTTTATATGACTTTATATGCTACACTGGTCAAATGTTTGTAGCTACATGTACATGTACTTTCATAACAGTCTTGTAAGGCCTAATGGTTCCCTTCAAGTTCACATGCAGTGTGTCATTATTTTGTTAAGAACGAGTTGAACCATAATGCAGACTTCCTACTATATATAAGCCCTGCCCTATCAATACACTGTTACTATTACCAGAACACTTTATAGTGGTGAGATGGCAGTGTGTTAGTGATTGCATACTAGTGGCAGAGAGGTCAATATTTAAGACCTCAGTGAGGTTACTCCACTATTATGGGGAGCAGACTAAGTCACTTGCCTTCAATTACTAGACCCTGTCTGGCATTCTGATACTTTCCTTCAGGTCATAGATGTAACCAGTGCAGTGAAGATAGGACAAGTGAACACAGTCTCTTACTATGGCTGGTATAAAGGAAGAGACCCCAACCCACAACACAACCCTGGGGTCATGATATTCTACTCATATCTAGTGACATATACTTAGTAACAGGTGCTTGAGATGGTGACAGATATAACTGTTCAGTTATACAATCCAGGGTTATGATTGTGAAATACCTCGACTACTAGTACATCAACCCTGAAAAAAGTCTTTTATTGTGTGTTTATCATACAGGTTACTTTTGACAAACAAATTTGCACTCTCATTGACATTAGTCAGTATTATCAGATTCATTTTATTCAGAGATTAAAGTTCAAGGATTTTTCTGCATACGAAGAGCTTCACAATTGTAATATCAAATTCTAATCACTAAGAAATATTTAAAAGCATTCCAACATCTAAGTGATTAATGCTGGACCAGTCACTTTATCTTATGACAACAAATTGCTGCTCTAGTGTGAAATAAAAAATGACCATTGTGGGTGAAGGTCATCATTACCACTATGAGGTCAAGGTCAAGTATAATAGTTCTGACCTTGACCTCCATAAAATGACCTTAACTGTTACTTTTCCACTGATTCTCTCGTCTGTGATAAGGCATCAACAGCTATAAATAATATATTGTTATATACATCTTTATGAATAAGAGATTGACTATATTTATATTTAGCAGCTGTTTTTAGGATATTGTCATAATTGCGATGTATACTATCGCGCATATTTGTATAAATATGAAAATGTACATTCTGAAAATATATTGCATTTTGTACAGAATGTCTTTCCCGGTAAAGTTGTTTATGTTCACATAACGGTATAGTACATACCACAGTTCAGTGACAGCTGATGTCCAGTAACGAGGAGAATACTGTTTCTTATTTAGTTCTCTCTTTAACCAGGGCAATCTGCTTTCTGATACTAACTTTGAACAATCACAATGAAAAATATCAAATAAAATTATAACCTCAGACTTTTCTATGCTCCTGGTAGGTCCTGGAGTTTACTCCTATCCACACTTACACACCTCGCAGTGTTGACTCAGATTGCTTCTGTTAATAACTGACTTTATTCCCCGCAATTCGCTTAATTTTTGTCCATAAATATTTGCCTTAGGGGACCGGAGAATGTTTTCACAAATGAACCGTGGTAATATACTTTGCCGTGGGGATTTATGAAATGTTTTTTCACAGAATTCAAAAATATTGCATGGAGCTGGGCCTTGTTAAGAAGGGACGATGTGTTACTTTGCCGGTTCACCACAACTATCGGAGGTGTGTTAGTACAAAGTAACCCCGCTTTCACGCTGTCTAGATTAGTTTGTATCCAGGAACGCTGAGGGGTGGTAAAGTATGTTCTTACGTGCTCTGAACTTGTCGTTTTAAGGAGGTAAGGGGCAGTAAATAATATGTCCAAGGATAAAGTGGTACCTCCATCGCGCAATAATAATTCAATGATAATCTCTGATGTAAAATAAGGCCTTTGTACCAGTATTGGCCGTGCACAACCCCATTAAGATTTTCTGGAAATGTACGCTTGGTTTCTTTAGCTGCGTGCGGTCCCTCGTTGATGCGAATCAGGAATTTCTGTTTTCGGTTTCTATATTTGTCTTTTATTTATGAGATTTGAACGCGCTTCTTGAAATCGCTCGTGCATATGTGTGTGGATGACATATCTGATTATTCTAGATATACTTCACGGTAGAAGTCATTCAAAAGATCTCCAGCCAAAGATGTTAACAGGTATAAAATTATTACTAAAAACTGCTTCAAGTTGCATTTTCACTTTTGATGTTAGAACTTGTTTATTGGTCAAATACACCAGGTTGTAGTTGACATACACAGTATGATATCCTGAATGAAAGGTATGTCAAATTTACCTTTCAAACAAAACAGGAAAACTTGAAAAGAAATCGTCACGCCCAGTGTTACACCTTTTCCTTTCATGTTTAAAACGGGGAGGTAGAGACTGCTTTTTTTTACTCGTGAAACCGCATTTAAGGGGAAAAATGCCAAGAAAAGTGAAATATAAGCTTAAGACTTAACCTATTCAAACTTCCGTGAATCACTAGGGTATTATAACTGAAATCACCTCAATAGTTTCACGCAATGAAAACTCGAGCAACAATGCAACAACGCTATGGCGCGTGTAGTGGTGAACGTTAATAAAAAATAAAAGCCGACTTGAAAAGGCTTCCACCCCGTGGCATTCCGCTCCCAGCCTAGTCCCATTTTTTGCGTAAAAGAAACCTCATTGCGTAAGCATCTTTTTAAGTGGTCTAATTTACCCGGCTGGTGCATATCGAACCCTGGGTCGCAACCCAGAATTTAGGATAATAGCTGTTTCCGTAACCTTGGTAATTCCTTGCCATACATTTGAACGGTATGGACTTTAGGGGGTTATTAAATTCAAGATTCGCAGTTTTTAAACACATGAAAAAGTAATTCTATCACGGCATGCGGTCATTGGTCTCATTGCCACGCACGGTTAGCGTTCATATTTGATCCGAATGTTTCTGAAACAAAAGAAATGTGATTAAATAAGTTTTGGCTTCTGGAATCGAGTTGCTGTGGACGGTATAAGAAGATATTAGAGCTGTAAGTTAAACCCTTATACCAGTAGAGGAAATATTACGAACGGGAAGAAACGTAGTTGTGTATACGTGCATGCACGTGCATACGTGTGCGCGAGGGCGAGGCGCTGAGAACGCATAAACAACATTTTGATTTAAACGATGACATATGGGGTGGGATCATATGATTTATCAATTTTGATCCCTCCAATCGCTGAAAACTTAAAGTATCAGTTTGCTGTGTATATTAAATTCTCCACACAACAGCAATAATCCGAAGTTTTACCCCAGATAAGATAAGATAAGATAAGATAGCTACAATTACGAGCAGAACGCAGCCCAAGTTTCGTTGGCTTCTGGAAACTAAACTCTGCTTTTATTTCTGATGGTGTGTTTGGTCAGATGGGCGTAGGCAGGTTCACTCCTATTCTCTTAGGCTGAGGGTAGCGCACAGTCAATGTTGTCACGACTAGGAAATGACGATAACACAGCCACTTACATTGCAGTCATGACACGAAAGGTTAATGGTGGCACTGGTATTGTATAATATTTATTTATTGACGTGACGTTACGGGAATAAATACAATACATGAGCCAAGAGGTCACCATATTTTGTACATTTATCAAATCTTATAAATGAAGGTTATAAGTTACAACTAGAACAAACACAATCGGATAGAATATTATACAAGAGTTAAAGTAGTAATTTCTGGTAGTGGTATATTTTGTATACATTAATTTGTCTTGGAAAATGTGTTTTGAGTTGCCGACAAAATTCAAGCTTCTTAACTTACTTAAGATTTTACAAAAAGGCGGAATTTTGGCAAGTCATTTCACTTCATGTGGCGAAAGAAGAACCTTTGCTTTTTCATAGCCCGCGAAGAGTTACTTTCTCTGCCAGAGATGGACCTCTTCCAAATACGAAAACCATACATTTCGCACTTCGCTTTTTTTTTCTCTTGGATTTTCACAAACACCTTATTTGCTGAAGTACTGTCCTCAATTGTGTGTGTGAGTGTGTGTGTGTGTGTGTGTGCGTGTGTGTGTGAGTGTAGTACTGAACAGACAAAGATTGGTAATATTATTAATGAGTGGCAGATTTAGGGGGTTGTCAGGGGGTCCTAACTCCCCTTTGATTTCTGAAAAAAATCACACCAATGGCCCCTTCTTGAAATTAGAATTTTTTACTAGCTGAATCGTAGTTCTAATCCGTACCAAGTGGCACTTTTCGCCCTCTAAAATACCAAATATTTTCCGGTCCATTCAACTGACCCCGGACCCCACGCCAAAACCGACCCTCTTCAAAAAATCCTGGATCTGCCCCTGTAAATGTTATACATATTACACATATTGCACAGGTTCTACTCCGCCGCTAAAGTCGTAACTTTTTGAGGTAAAGACGTGCATAATGGATGTTTAGACATTCTAAGGTGACTGTTTTGATAAATTTGATCATTCTAAACCCTAGAGACCATTCCCAGAGCCTAGGGTACTAACTTTGGATCAATCTATCTCCTAGGGGATTCTTGCTAAATTGCAATCAACTAAAGTGGCTTAGATGTCTGTCACGCCTACTGAAGCTGATAGGGGGTAATAACTATCGTTTAGCAGCTTTGGTAGGCGTCCCGGACATCTAAGCCGCTTAAGCTGAGAGCAATTTAGCGAGAAACCCCTTGGAGATGGACCGATCCTGTTAGATCGATCTAGGCATAGGAACGCAGTCCTAGACTCTAAAATCCAATCCAGCGCCCGACTGGCGGAAACGAAGCTGAGAAGGCGTAAAATGGAACGGGTTGTTAAGTTTTTCTTGGAAAAAACTTGGATTGAGGAAACGCGAACAATATATGGACGTTTAACATCCTATATTAATTTCATTTGATAACTTATATTAACGTACTCGTCTCGCCGAAATACGTACGCATGTGGTGAAGAATATACCAGACCCTTCAACTCGACTCCTTTTTAGAGCAAACTGTCATGAAGGCGTATGCGGTGTGTTTTTCTCGGGTAAGGGAGGGCTTTCTTTATCGAGGTTAAAACTATATAAACAGTGTGAGACATAATAAAAGATGTGACAGTTTTGACTGAAGCACGTGTAACACGCACGTATGACATGCACGTGTAACATGCACGTGTAACATGCACGCACATGTTAAAAAGCTCACGAAGAAGAGCAAAGCATACTGTTGTACGGTCATGCAGG